TGTATTTCTGTTTAGGGTGTCTGCTTATTTCAGAGAATTTCTACTTGTATCAAAAAGGCAAAAACTGCCCCATTCTGTTTTGTTTTGTTTTTTCAAGTTTTCTGTTACTATGGGGCTTTTTTCGTTTGTTATTTGCATGTTTTTGTTTCTGTTTTTGGACTAGGGAATTCTCCTCAGAAACAATATATAAGAGTAAAATAATTCTGGCCTCTACCTGCATACCTAGACCAAAGTTGCTCATTGTTTCTCGTCTTCCTATTCATGGTCAGCTGATCTTACATTCTCTGTTCAATCCTAGCTAGGGGGCTAACATGAGAGTAGGAGAGAAGGTCAATGAATATTAAAACTAATTGTTTCTATTCAATTTCTTCTATCACTAAACACCTTGGGTGAAGACTTCTATAGAATCAATGGGTTTAGCACAGCTACTAATGATTAAGGCTGATTTGAAGTTAAATAATTAATTGAAGTATTATATTGTAAAAGTGTCAACAATATAGCCATCCTATCCTTTCATGAATTTAATGAAATAACATTATTAATTAACAAATACTCCAACTCAGAAGTATTTCAGGAGGATTTTAAATAAGAAAGTATACTCAGGATTCATTTGAAACCTTATGGTAAACACAAATGTATTAGCTTTTTAATGTTTTCTAATAGTGCAAAAACTAGAAAGAATAGTTAGTATATCTTACATTCTAAAAGGTAAAATTTGAAAAATTCTATACGGGCATACCTCAGAGCTATTGCAGGTTTGGTTCCAGACCACTGCAACGATGTGAATATCACAATAAAGTGAGTCACAAATTTTTTGGTTTACCAGTGTACATTTAAAACATATGTTTATACTGTACCACAGTCTATTAAGTGTGCAGTAGCATTATGTCTAAAAAAATAAAGTATACACATTAACTAAAAAACACTTTATTGCTAAAAAATGTCAACAATCATTTGAGCCTTCAGCAAGTCATAATCTTTTTGCTGGTACAGGGTCTTGCCTCAATGTTGATGGCTGCTGACTCATCAGGGTGGTGGCTGCTGAAGGTTGGGGTGGCTGTGGTAATTTCTTAAAATAATACAACCATGAAGTTGCATCGATTGACTCTTCCTTTCAGAAAAGATTTTTCTGTAGCATAAGATGCTATCTGATAGTATTTTACCCACAATAGAGCTTCTTTCCGAACTGGAGTTGATCCTCTCAAACCCTGCTTGCTACTTTATCAACAAAGATTATATAACATTTTAAATTCTTTGTTGTCATTTCAACAATGTTCACAGCATCTTCACCAGGAGTAGTTTCCATCTCAAGAAATCACTTTCTTTGTTCATCTACAAAAAATGACTATTCAAGCTCCACAAATGTTGTTAGCAGGGGACAAAGGTCTATTCTCTGCTTCTGGGCAAAGCTGCCAGGGAGGGCTAACATGGCCCCACTCAGCCAAAAAGTCTGCGTGTGCAGGTGGGGCTGTCTGAGACCTGCAGTCTGGAGCAGGCCTCGCTCCTTTCCACCCTCCCCTATTCCATGGTTTCTCCTGGGCCTCTGCCGGCAGGCAGGACCTCAAGCCAGTGGATCTCGCCTGACTGTGATGCAAGCGAGAAGGTTCCCTGCCCAGGATCACAGCCTGAGCTGGGAGTGTGGTCCTCCCGTGGGAGGATGGTTGCCCCTCAAGCACGCTGCAGCTAGGACCCACTCTGATCTGCCCCTGAAGGCACACACCCCTCAGTAGACTACATATCTGATAAAGGGCTGATAACTAGAATCTACACAGAACTCAGGAAAATCAGCAAGAAAAAATCAAACAACCCTATCAAAAAGTGGGCAAAGAACTTGAACAGAAACTTTTCAAAAGAAGACAGACTAATGGCCAACAAACATATGAAAAAATGTTCAACATCTCTAATCATCAGGGAAATGCAAATCAAAACCACAATGAGATATTACTTAACTCCAGTAAGAATGGCCTTTATCAAAAAGTCCTAAAACAATAAATGTTGGCGTGGATGCGGAGAGATAGGAACACTCATACACTGCTGATAGGACTGCAAGCTAGTACAACCTCTGTGGAAAATAATATGGAGATATTTCAAAAAGATACAAGTAGAATTACCATTTGATCCAGCAATTCCATTACTGGGCATCTACCCAAAGGAAAAACAGACATTCTATAAAAAAGACATCTGCACTAGAATGTTTATAGTAGCACAATTCACAACTGCAAAGATGTGGAAACAATCCAAGTGCCCATCAATACAAGAGTGGATTAATAAAATGTAGTATATGTATACCATGGAGTTCTACTCAGCCACAAAAAACAATGGTGATCTAGCACCTCTTGTATTATCCTGGATAGAACTGGAGCCCATTCTACTAGGTGAAGTATCCCAAGAATGGAAAAACAAGCACCACATGTACTCACCATCAAATTGGCATTAACTGATCAACACCTAAGTGCACATATAGTAGTAAC